TCTCTTTGGTTCTTTTGGCCTGGACCAAAAAGAGAAAACGATACATTTAGTCCTGGTTCGCTTAACGCGCACACTCATTTTTTACACTGAACCTAAACTCGTGAAGAGCTTATAAAATGTGTAATGGAGTCGTTCTGACGCCTGTACCGAACTGTGATGAGAAACATTGCGACAATATGACGAGGAAAAACAGGTATGCCTGATCATTCCGTCCTTTTTAGGGTCGCATCTTGTGTCCTGTTTTTGGTTTGTTTACATTTCTTTGGTCCGTGTAGTGTTCATATTTCAGTCAAAAGAGTTTGTTTGGAAGTTGACCACGACCCATCTTTTCAGGGGTCTTGGTCCGCTTGTTTGTCCGCAGCCAAATTGAACCACCAGGGTTCAGATGGCAGCGTTCACACTTATTCAAATGAACCGCACTAACAGAGCAATCGCACCAGGGTTCGTTTGAATCGAACCAAAGTTTTATGTGGGGCAAACCAACTACCACCAAATGTCACAGAATTCATTGAATGTATGTCACTTCCTGAAGGAACTGGCTTTTGTCAGGTAAAATGCACTACACAGGAATGATCCATTCTATGTGCGTATTACTGTGGTACCACCTTTATTTCTGAGTTTAAAGACTTCAAGTACACGATTTATTTAATAGCGAACCGCTGTAAGCAAACTCCTTGAAAGATTTACACGGTTACATTAACACATCCGCAGAAGGCAAAAAACTTCTGTATTTCATCTTACAGCATCCGGTCCCATGTATAATGCATGTTGCTTAGGTCAGAAGACTTGTTATTGCTTTCAAAGTTTATTGCTTCTCGGATCGAATATGCTTACAGATGCTTTGCATCTGCATCTCCCAGAATGAAGCAGTAACTGGATTATGCCTCCACTACATAGAATATGCTCACTGTCACTTACGGTTACAGCTAGCAAATTTAATTAAGAGTCATAAAGGATATATGTTTCGTTTCGCTACGCTGAGGATTTGGGTGTAGTATATTCTGCAGCAAGTTTGAGACTTGTAATTGCTCAGGTTAAGCAGAGGGTAATTTTGCAATCCTTGCCAAGTTTTGTTAAAGTGCCTCATTAAACAAGACAAATGAGCTTTCAGAATGAAAAATTTGGACACAGCCCATTAGATTCCCTAGTTGATACATTTGATATGTTCGGAACGGCATACTGCTTTTCATACTTTATTTTTGTCATTTGCGCATTATGCTCAACAAGAACTTCCATTTCCAATTTGACAAATTAGCAGAAAGAAACAATCGCAATTTTTAAATCTTTTTTATAGCCAAAAGTTATACAAATTAACTGTAAATAGCAACATTTTTAACGTTTCGTTATAATTAAAACATTTATACACACAGTGTAAAAAAGGTGCTGCTTTACATTTTTAAGTACAATCAACTTGGATGTTTGTCATGTCAACTTAAAAAATTAGTTGAAACTTGTATACCTTATAAAAAAAAGGTATATATTTTTGATGCGTTAAAGCAATGTAAAAGCACATGTTGTTATAACTTATTGATCATATAATAAAAAAAAAAAATGTAAAAAAAAATAACTATTCATTTTCAAAATTATAACCGGATGCCACTTGCTCAAGTTAGCATGCAATACGTACTAACTTGGCAATTCCAAAACAAATAATGAAAATGTGTAACTATTTACGTCTTTGGGGAATCGGTGGCTAATTTGTATAACTTCGTACAATCTCATTCGTACAATGCTTACGCCCCCAGTGATGGGTATGATTAGGGGTGGACCTTCATGCACTTTTCTTTTCTAATAATCGTTTTTGTACGATTCACATCGCACAAATTCATATAAAATCGCCACCTTGTATATTAGTTATGTTTTCCCGTGAGATCAGGATACGAATGCATACGAATGTTTAAAATGCTTATCAGTGAATGCAGCTACATTAGTATGCCATTTGGAACAGATTCTTCCTTAGCTCTTCTCACTCTGCTGAATCATTTAGTAATGGTCATTTATGGCCATGTACTCATCTGAGTCACTGTCTAATGGTGCTTGTGGATGGGTGCACATTCTGACACATCGATGGAACAAGCTACCATCTATCAGACTATTCGTCCTACTGTAACAGCTCTCAGTGGCACATTCAGATTGATGCCTGGTGCTTTTCAGAAGGGGGCAGGGAAAGTGATCAAACACATCCAATTAACAAAGGCGAGAAATCAGCCTCTCGTTGTTGGAACTAATGTTCTGGATTCTTGTCAACCATTCATGACTGTCTAACGCTAATGAGAAAGGAGGACATTTATAAGTAATATGCTTTATAATTAACAACAAAGGCTCTGTGCATTTTTAATTTATTGTCGATCATCATAAAGATTTGATCTGAAGGTTTATGTCTAACTGTTGACAGAATCTCAGTCAAACCCAGCATGTGGTTTGAGTAAGAATGTTTATTTTGAATGCATTTATTTCCAACAAGTTGATTTTGTCAAGATTTAGGGGTACATTAACATATAGATGAGCTCAAAGCTAACAGACATGGACTAAAAGCCATACATTTTCCCAAATTTGCTCTAAAACACCTGTAGTTTTGTTTCTGTGGAGTTTAAATGTGCAGGAGCAGATCCTTTGCTGAAGGTAGCCTCAGTAAATCACGTTATGCTTTTTGTTTTCCTCATTGCATGCTCATGTCGCTATCAGAGATCTTTGTTCTCTCCTCTTTAGTTCATAAATGAAAGCTTTGCCCCAAGCCTTTGAATCAAACGAAAATTGTACCTCTTTTTTTCCATTTTTGTCATATGTAGTTAGGCGCATTTGGGTTTCTCTTCACTCTACATACATAGCAAGAAGTCTGAGAGAACGAAATATCTGAAAAGTTCTATTTTAAGCATAATGTCTGTGTTAAAACACAACTTTGGCTACATTTTGCTAGTTTTAATACAGGTCAGTTAGTTTCATGTGGACTTTAAAAGAGCATGTGCATAATGTTATATATTCATAAACTACATACATTCTAAATCACTGATTTAAATATCGATTGAATGTAGGATGTTAGAATGCTTACAATGCAAAGCCATTCAAATTATTGTACATAATACATCTTTGAGACAGACAATGAAACATTTAGTTGAACTTTAGCTTTTGTTGAAGTTAATATTGTATTAATATTAATACATTAATATGTTTAATATTAAAAGTATTTTAATATAATATATGATTTTATTAAATTGATCAAAAGTGACATTAAAAAATGTTTTTAAGTTATACATAAATTAAAGTTACAAATATATATATATATATATATATATATATATATATATATATTATTTATAATAATAACAACACGAGTAGTACAGTAATAATAATAATAATACATTTTTCTTTAGCACCAAATCAGAATGATTTCTGTTTTTACTGGGTTTGTAATCCAATGAATGCTGCTTTGGTGAAAATTAAATTAAAAAAATAAATTAAAACAATTAAAACATAAAAAGAAATGTTTCTTGAGCACCAAATTAGAATGAATTCTGTTTTTACTTTTTTTTTTTTTTTTTGTAATCCAATGAATGCTCCTTTAAAATAAAATAAAATAAAATAAACATTTTCCAACCCTAAACCTTTGATCAGTAAGTTTTACACCAAACAATTATTTCATGAAATGAGGGTTAAAATCTAGATCGAGCATCTTTGTCCTGATGCGCTCAGTGGTTGCTTCCGCATTGTGGAAACCTTTACTCGCTCTCTTTATTGTTTCACTCACACTTTCTCTGAGATTTGCTATGTCAGATCAAAGACCGCTGGACCACTGCACATCTCACAATTGAACTTCTGAGGAACTGAAGGTCTCATAAAGGGAATCCCTAAGAGAGGTACTGCATGCAGACTCTTGGTCTTGTTGTGACAGCGCAGCTCTGATCAAATGAAAGCTTCACGCGGTCTTTATCTGTAGCTGTTGCAGAGCGTCCCTCTTTGACACCCAATGCCTGACTGCGCATAAGTGGAGGGGAGCAGAGAGAGGGAGGAGAGAAGAGAAAAACAGCAGGAGGAGGGTGAAATCTAGCCAGACTATGTTGAAGAGCCACAGGCTGCGCACAGCAAATTGCTCTGGAGTTACAGAGGATGAGAGGAGGAAGATCGTGATTATTGCTGCAGAGATTTCAGAGGTGAGGGCAAGTGGAAACTTATTGGCTTTGGCGTCGAAACTGGGAAGAAGATGAGAATTGAGTGATTTCAATCTACAGGAGGCGCAAGACTGCTACTGTGGAGGAGTGCCGTGCTTCCAATCCTTCAGAAAGAGGTCATTTTCTTCTAGGTAAACTTACTTTTAAATACTTTACCTTTTACAGCCCACGTCAATTTATGTGGGAGGAAGAGATCTGAGGACTGGATCGGATTTGAGATTCTGAGGCTTCAAAGAATTCTTCTGCTGCAATATTTCTGAGAAATACATGCATACGTGAACCCCACGCACTTACTGTTCAACGCAATCTGGAGTGATGAACCTCATAGGAGAGGCATGTCAGTTGTAGTCTCGTATGCGGCGCTCTGAGGAATAAAGATGGGAAGAAATTCACTTCTGGCATAAAATGAGAAATTTATCACAGCCGATCATTTCTGACCCACTCTTTCGGAGAGCATGTGGCTTATTTCTCCACTCCCTCTCGCTTTAGAAGCCGTGAGACTCCTCTTTGGAAAATAAGAGCCGGTGGTTGTGCTTACAGATTGGGAGATCTGAAATATTTAAGACTCTGGCTGTGAAAGATGCAATTAACGATTAATGAAAACCGAAACGGATGTGATCAGTATGCACATGTTGCCTACATTTACTCTGAAAACTGTGGGAGTGAGTTAAGACGAGAGGACTAATGACTGACAGCGGTACCAGGTTTGCTGTGTGGTACCCCGGAGTACAACCTGTGCATTAGTTTGTCTTCAGCCTTGGGCTGAATTTAGAAACAGCAAGTTTGGCTCAATCTTGATCTTTTTTTTTCTTGCTTCTTCATTAGCTCTTCCTCCCATCACGCCTTATATTGAGGAACAGGTTGCTGTGCTATTAAGCAGATTAGATTAACTACTGTTTCCAGGACTGCGGTTCCTTTGGGATGAACAGTTAAGCAACGCATATGGGTCTACAAAACTTGGTTTGATTGAACATTCAACCACCCATCATTATTACCTTGTTCCTCATAATCAACATGGTCCCACCGCCCCCTTCCAACAAGCCACACGTTTGCCTTTCGTGTGTTCTTATCATGAGTAGCATGGCGCTGCTGGACGCCTACCTTGTGGAGCAAAATCAAGGTCCACGGAAGGTGGGCGTCTGCATCATGGTGATGGTAGGCGACGTGTGCTTCCTCATCGTGCTGAGGTACATTGCCGTATGGGTTGGGGCCGAGGTACGAACTGCTAAACGCGGCTACGCCATGATCCTCTGGTTCTTCTACGTCTTTGTGCTCGAGATCAAGGTCTACTTTGTCTATCAGAACTACAAAGCGGAAGGCGAGAGAGTGGAAGCTCTTACATGCAAGGCTTTCACGGTGCTGCTTTCCGTGTTCGTGCCGGGACTTTACGTTACGCTGGCAGCCATCGACCACATGGAATACGTTCGGCCAATCAAGAAGAGAGAGGAGCTGAGGAGTCGACTATTTTGGGTTGTGGTGGACCTTCTCGACATCTTGGACATTCAGGCCAGCCTATGGGAGCCTCAGAGAAAAGGGCTCCCCCTATGGGTGGAGGGCCTTACTTTTTTCTACTGCTACATACTACTTCTGATACTGCCGTGTGTGTCGCTAAGCGAAATAAGCATGCAAGGTGTAAATATTGTGCCGCACAAGATGTTGTTGTATCCTATTCTTAGTTTGGTCGCCATCAACTTTATTACGATTTTTATACGGGGAGGGAATATGGTGCTTTATAGGGACGTCCGTGTGTCTGGAATACTCATGGGCAAGAACGTCCTCGCCATTGTCCTGAAGACGTGCAGCTTCGTGCAGTACCGGAGACACCTTCAGGAGGCGCCGACACCCGCTCTCGCTCCGGAGCTACAGAGGGATGCAGTGCCACAAAGTTCTCGAAGGGGAGTGCCAGTCGCAATGCCAATGTCCGTCACCCTGCCAACTCCGCAGGTAGTCATACAAGATCTCACCACGCTTCCAGAAGAGCCCGAACTTGAGGAAACATGACAAAAGGTGGAATTAGAAGAGTTTGCACGGAGGATATTTGGACAACGCACAACATGAACTGCTATGAGATTTTTATCCTAAAGTTAATCCGGGTGTACACTGTCTGATTTTTACTGTACTTTACCATTGTTTCTTATCAGATTGTATGACATGATATTAATAAGACTGTCCAGCCCATACCACAGACATTTAGCTAGACTTTGATCGAAACTGACAGCACTGACTAGGCATTAGTCACCACAGTGTTAAAAGAAATCGTAATAATTATTTTCATCTTGTTTTCCAGTAGAAATGCCAAATTTTCTTTCAAACAAGATACATTTACACTTAAGGCCACACTCGGGCCGTGTTTGAGCGTCGGTCAGCTTAGTTTTTTCGGTTATAGCTCTAGTCGGGCACCGTCGGTGAGAGAGAGAACTCTGATTGGCTGTTCAGCTTAGCGAACGAGTCAGTGAACGAGAATGAAAGTAAAAGTGATGAAAGTCAAAATGGTACAGACAGACAGACAGAATTTGACGTTATCTTACCTGAGCATTCGAATGCACGCATATTTTCGTTATAACATGAGCCGACTGGAACGAAAAAACTGATAAGCGTGATTGATATTCAAAATGATAAACAAACACTGCTTTGTTACAGTGCGTATGTCTAAAGTCATAGTTTCTGTTTCCCCTTTTGAATGAAGAAAACAGACTATTGATACCTGCTGATATAGACAGATATTTACTTACACGCAGGCGCAGAACGCACATGCGAGTTGACACTCGCCTTAAGTCCTTTTGGTGTGTTCAAGCGCAGCTTTTTGACCGAGACGCAGCCAACGAGAGGCGACAACACAGTCAGCTTTTGTCGCCGCTAGTTCTTTGACATCGGCTTGGTGTGTCCTGGGCTTTAAACTAAATTGTGTTTTCTTGATATAAACATAATTAGATTTTGATTTATGTGTTGTTTTACTGAAAGATAAGAAAAAAATAGTGATTAAGAAAAAAAATCAGTGCAGTTCACATAACATTCTCACATTCAATGCCAATTCCAAATTTCGCCTTGAAAATAAAAAGTCCCTGACAACAAAAAAGTGGCGAATATCATAGTGTGCACCCAATTTTCGTGAAATCATGTGATTAAAGTTGTTTATGAGGTGACAAATGTTCGTGCAAAGCAGCTGTGGTGGATCTGGGGTCCATTCATTTCCAGAAAATGTCTTTATATATGGAATGTAGAAGTTTATTCCGAAAGTCATTAATTAACAAGTGGCAAGCAAATCACACTTGAAGGAACTCTCAGTGACCCTATGATTGTACAATTACAGACAGCTGTGAATACTTCATCTACTTTCCTTTTTTTCTGGTAGGGTGTTAAAAAATATGCTGAATCATCATGTTCTGTATGTATTTTATTTTTGCAGTATTTTAATAACTATGGTGAAAAGTTGTGTGTTTGGAACAACTCGTACTACAATTAACTTATCTAAACCTATTACAAAGTGAATGTTTTATATTTAATGGAATTATTCATATATTCGATGTTTTATGAGAATCAAATGAATGATATTTTGTTATTAAAACAATGTTTTTGTTGATATCTGATATTATTTTTTCTCCTTCTTACTGATGCTAAGCCACCAACTAACGGCCACCCAAAGCCCACTAGCAATGGTTTAGAAACTAAGAACACCTTAGCGACCGTATAACAACAACATAGCAACCCTAGAAACTGTTTAGAAACTTAGAACACCTTAGCGCTGTAAAAAATACTTTCATGATTTCTTATCACAACATTTTTTTCCTTTGTCAAATCAACTCAATAATTTCTCCCTCGTTGTATTAACTTGACAACCAGGTAACTTACTTTTTTAAGTTAAACCAACAATATATTTTTTTTTACAGTGTGTGTGTGGTGTGCATGTAGCAACACCCTGTCAACCACTCTAGAGCTGTGCCAAATCATTTTCTTAAGAAAATCTAGTATTTTTCACTTAATCGTGTTCCTTTGTTCTTTTTGAGTAAAATTACAAGTCTGCTAAAAGCAAAGACTTCCCCAAACCGGGACCAAATCACAATCCTGCTATTCAGTATGATTATTCTTATCTTGTCAGCTCAACATGATGATAAAAGGCAGCTTGTTCTTTTCTTCTACAAATCTAGAATTTGAGGCAACTCATTTAAATAAAGTTGTCATAATCAAATGCAAATTTAGCAAAGTTTTGTCTCCTGTTCCTAAATGATTAGCCTACTGTTAACCCACTCCAAATCTCTGAGGGCTTTCTATTTAAATCCAAAAATCAAATCTCAGCCTGAGTATTTCAATAATAAGTAAAGCAATGTGTGAATAATAAGTAAAGCAAAGAAATGTTTTATGACAACGTATACCCAGAGCTATAATTTTAGCATGTTGCTATAGCTACTGTTAGATTAGCACAGTCGACAAATATAGCACAAAGACGTGTCTAAAAAAAAAAACAAGATCTCAGTAAATACACCTGACAGCTTCTCATTGCTTCACTGACACCATAGATGCTTCTGTGCCAGATTGAAACACAACATATAAACGCATATTTTTTTTTACATGTCAACAGTAAAGTAAATAGTAACTAGTTTGTCAAAGCAGTCCCTTTCAGTCAGTAATTTATGGGTGTGCATTTGTTCTTGCAAGTTAATCTGTAAGGTGCTCTGAATCAAAATACAGAAATTCATCACACTTGATGAATATTTACATTTGATGTAGCTGCTAAAACGCATAGTTCACAAAAAAAATACATATTTTACTCACCCTTATTCACGTGAATGAATGGGACTAAATCTTTTAAGCAGCAAAATCACACACACACACACACACACACAAAAACACCATAAAAGTAGGTCAAATGACTTGTGCGGTATATTTCATGCCTTCTGAAGCCATATGATAGCTTTCTATGAGGAAATCTTTTTGTAGAATTTGAACTTTATAGCACATTTTTATTAAAAGACAATGCATAAACCGAAAAACGTCATTTTGGAAGTTACTTTTAAAGTAATGTGAAAGTTCGAATAAGGTCAATATTTAACTACACTAAAGTTTAAGCATAGTTAAATCTACTAATTTATGTTAAAGCACTTACAACAAAAACAGAGCAGTTATGTCTAAATCTAAATGTTAGCATTGCATATGAATAGCAGACTAGCCCTTGCCAAATTGTTCTACAACTAATAGCTGACCATTGAAAAACCTCTTAATAATGACTCAGTTGGGACCATTTAATAATCAAGCTTGAGAATTCAGCCCTCACGCCATGATGATAATAGCCCAATTACAGAAACAAAATCGTATGAGTTGTTATTTTGGAATTAAACCCGCTGCTATTTGCCAAGAAAATGGAGGCCACTGCTGCGCCAAGAGATTATGTGTCAGTCAGTCCTAATGTGGGTAAAAATGAAAAAATGTACTGTAAAGACATGGGGCAGCTGCAGGCAGTGCTCAACACAGCTAACTACTAACCCTCGGCTGATAAATGCATCCGGAGGGAGCCATGAAAGTCAAATCTGAAATAGAGGACAGCATAAAAAATATTCTCTTTGGGTACTCTGGATATGCACATATTAGTGTGATTCTGTGTGGATATGAGAAGTCTCTTGGCAGTGGAGTTCAGGATTTGAGGAAAGATATTAGTTAGTATGGATGTACAGATGATAGATAGATAGATAGTAGGGGTGTAACGGTACACATAAGTCATGGTTCGGTATCTCGGTTTTGGGGTCACGGTTCGATACAAGTTTGGTATACATTTACATGTCATTTTCTTTGCACGTGAGAGTATTAACATGCGGTGACCATGGCGGATGCACAAAGTTCAATGTCACGCTTTTTCAAGAAACGACGGAAAGATGAGCGAGGAGGAGAAAATAAAGTGCCATCTACATCTGCCTACTTCACCTTTCCACGAGGAGACGGCGAGTGAAGCGGCACCTTAGGCTTCCCATTTCCAGGCATATTTCATCACTGGACTGTAGTAATGAGGCTTCCATGACACAAATCGGCACAAATTGTCTCATTTTAACAGCGGAAACAACTTAAAATACTCCGTCATTTATGGTCATACGGAGTGTGAACCCAATTTTAGTGAGATAGTGTGATTAAAGTTGTCGATGAGGTGACAAATGTTCGTGAAATGAAGATAGATGGATGGAGCGATTTATATATATATGAATTAAAAATTGTCTGTATACGTGGCTGATTAATATTCCCTCATAATGAGAGGTGGAAACATAAAAAAGCTTTAACACACTTCCCCCACTATGATTCAGAGCCGCTGGCACCTGTTGACAGAACCAGTGGGTGGCAATTAAGCTGCATTTGGAAGAACATGGCATTTCAACACATTGCGGCTGGAGTTCTACTGGAACAGCTTCGGCATCATTTAATTGGACACATCATTATCTGTCGCCACTGCATTTGGATTCTTGAATTATATGATTGTGTATTTTTGTTCCTGCCAAGAGCCTATGGGGGGGTCTCAGTCCTCTTGTTTCCACTTCAATTAGCCCGAACAATGCATTCAGTTGCATGGCTGCTGTGCCACCCAGAACCCGGACCGCCACACAAGACCAAAACACAATGTGTCATCCAGACACTTTGCTTGTTTACTCCAGGATGCCGTCTATCTGTTGCTCTGCTTAATTTACCATGACAATCTTGGTAATTAAATGAGTAACACTTTTCTTTTTTTTTAAAGTTTCTTATTTGCTCTTTTTCGGCTGCCATTGTTGACTTCTTTAGGCAAAATGTAGTTAAATAAATGCACAGTTGTCTAATACGAATTTTTAGCAATTCTACATTGGTTTGCATAATTAACCATAGAACGCATTTACATGTCTGTGTATGTTTAGCTCTATTGTTGCAGTGTTGACAACGTTAGATTTAGTCAGTCCGAATCATTTTCGTGAAACATTCAAATAAGAGATTCAGTCAAGGGATATTTAAACCTTCACAACATGTCATATTAAAGTCCCTGTAAAGGCAATTTAAAAAAAAAATTCTAAACACATTATAAATGTTAGAAATGTATTGCTAAAACATATTACAAAGACTGTGAACTGTGAAGTACTGAATTGTGGAGTTAGACCGTTAAACAGTTTTTCATCATTGATATTTTACGGATTTTTTGGGCGGGGCTAAAACGGGGCTCGATGACGCACTGGAGCCCCTGAGCTCCTGGACACGCCCCTACTTGATGACGCACTGGAGCCACTGAGTGTAGTGTTCCTTTATCTTCGTAGTGTGGTGCCTATAATAAACTACCGACACATAAAGGTATATCTCCGAACTCGTTATTTATTACCGAGCACTAGCAG